GAACCTTATGGGAAAATTTGATTCGGTTGATGACCAAAATCAGTTCGCGACCACATTTGTAGGGGTCAGAACGGATTAACCTTATTTACGTTGAACGTTATGGGGAAATTTGATTCATTTCGCGACCAATTCGGTTCGCGACCAATTCGGTTCGCGACCTGAATCGTGGAACGAATTAAGTTCGTGAACCGAGGTACCACTATATACTAAATGAAAAAAAATGAAATACAGTTACTTGCATAATAGAGCTATGAAACAGGACCATTTTAGTTTAGCCCCTAGCTGGCAGCATTTTGCATTAATGAAAACACCAGTAATATACCTATTACATTTTTGAAGAGCCTCTAAAACATGGATCTTCAGAAAGGCACTTGGAGACATCTGAAGATTCTGTTATCCACCTGGTTGCTTTTATGTTTCTGAATTTATATTCTAATGTTTGTGCTGTTACTTGTAAATTGCTCAAAATCTTCAGAAATGAAGTGGTAGCAAATTAGCAATAAACAAACAAACAAACTAGGAAAATCATCCAGTAAGAACTGCCCAGATTCCATTTTCCTTTTTTTCCCCCTCTCTCCTTGCTGAGGAGAGATTGTCTGCCTTGTGGAATCTGTCTTTCCTTTCTTTGTCTAGCAGAGAGATCTTGCTTGTTTGCTCACTGATTTACCCACTCCTTGCCTAATAGAGAGACCCTTGCAGTAAGGCAATCAGACCCAGCCTTCCTCCTTGGCCAGCTCCTTCTTCTCCCTTGGCCAGCTTGAGCTCCCAGCCTGCTTTTCCTGGCCAATCCTCATCCCCTTGCAGCCCCTGCCTGAAGACCCTGACCCAGCCTCAGAAGCAGTGCCCACCATGGCATGTGAGAGCAGGCAAGGGTTCCAGACAATGGTGCTACTTGATGCAAGAAGCTTGAAAGTCTTGGCCGTGTTGCCCAGCCAACTAAGTCCGGGTGTTGCCTAGAGACCTGTAGGGCTGAGCCAAGATGAATTGTAAGATCACTGTTGCCAAGCTGCTGATTCTCCTGGAGTGCTTCCTGTGGCCCTGCTAGGCAGCATTCTCAAAGTCTACAAAGTACTGTTGCAGGCTGCAGAAAATAACTTGAGGGGCTGTATGTGGCCCATAGGTCTTGAGTTTCAGACCCTTGCACTAAATACATCTTTTATCAGCTAAACATGCCAAAATGACTCCAGATTTCCTAAACTACTTGGTCAAAGGCATGTTCTCCTACTTTGTCATTGCCTTTCGGCTGCTTTTTGCTTTAGGGATTTTCTTTGGTAAAATCCTCCATAAAGTAGTATTTTCCTTGTCTTCACAAATTACATACCTGCTCAACTGAAGAGCAGTCCCTCCTGTACATCATTTATGCTGAGCAATCCCATAACTGAATGAAGAAAATGTCTGTGTCAATATCTTTTTTTTAATAGTAATTTTATTAAAAATTACAATTGGAAAGATAAAAACTAATACAAACTAAAAATAATAAAAATAAAAATAGAAGGCGCAGAAAAGAAAAAAATAGGGGCGTAGAAAAGAAAGAAAAATAAGAATACAGTAAAGAAAAAGAAAAGAAATATATAAAGAAATTACTTTCCCCTTCATCACAGCAAGTAACTTATCACCTTCTCTTAAAATACAACAAATGATCTCTTCTTCCCATATCCAATCTCTTATCTATAAACAAAACCTTAAAGCCTCATTTCAGTCTTGATCAGCAGGACCCTTAAGTCCATTAAGGGTTACCAAAGATAACAACATATTTATTTTCACCTTGATCAAATAAACCAACTTTATATTCCCTCCCTTTACTTTTAACAATCTTGATCTTTAGTCCCTTCAAATAATGTCCCAGAACTTTTCATTGTGCCTTTTCACAAAATTCTTCAAAGCTTTAACAAGCCTCTTCTGTAAACCCAAACTAGGAAGATTATCCATGACACTCTCTTGGTTTGTTATTTATATATTCTTTTTAATTATTAAGACATCAGCCGGTTTCTTTTGTACATCGAGTGTAGCATCTTTTTCTATATCATTCTTGTAGCTTGTCATTTTTAAATCCACTTTCAGATCAGTCTCAAGCTTGTCAGGTAAAACTTGTTCCTCTTCCATAACATCCTTTAAAAACAGTTTATCTCTACAGGCAGACATTCTTAAAGTTAATTTCTGAGTCCACTGTTCAAAAATAACCTTCAATATGTCCAATGTTAAAATATTTTTCTTCATCCTCTATTAGTAAGTCAAATTTAAGTGTTCTTCTCCTTTAATTGTAATCATTAGTTCCTTCTGGTTCCCTCTAGTGTCCAACCTTCAAAGTCTCACCCTATCATGTTTTTTTTTTAAAGGATTCAAAACAAAAGCATTTTCCCATGGGAAGGATTCCTATAATTAATTCCAAAATCTTATTTCAAATTTATATGGACCCTTAGTCCATTTGTAACTTTCCAAAATCAAAGTTCTAATCAGCCTTTTGCTGTTTATTCCAAAAGGATTTTTTAAAGTACTTAAACTTGTATCCTTTCACTAAGGATTGAAGGAAACTCACCTGTTGTTTTCAGACTCGTCAATCCAATAGCTAAAAAGCAGTTAACAAGCAATTTCTGAAAGTGATTAGAAAAGCAAGTATGTGAACTCAGTGTCCTTTTGAAGGTGCTGAATGCGGTTTGAGCAAAGATAGCTTTCCCTTGTCTCCCAGAGCTCTAAACCCATTAGAGACCACTGTCTTGTGGTCTCCTCACAAGGAGCAACTGACTGGAGCACTTGTGGGTGATCTCAGGTCCCCTCCTTATCCAGAGAGGAATTATAAAGAGCCAGTCTACTCACCAGCTCTTCATTCCACTGTGGTCGTTGGCTCCACAATATCAATGAACTAGGAGTTTGAATAAATAGAACCACAACATAAAAGGCGTTTTCTTCCATACTCAAGTTAATAAGGATCCTTCCACCAGAATCAAAATAGGCCTGGTGCAGCAGTTAATTATTAACAGCCTGCTATAAATAGTGCAATTCCAATTTCTAATTCCTCAGACTGCAGTTTCATTATTAGTGAGCGCCATCTGCTGCCCTTGTTATGCAGTTTCAGCAAGAAAGACATACTCCATTTACAGTCCAGGAAACATACTAACTCTGTCCTAAAAGAGATGAAACATAGGTACTTCTTTGCTTCCAGCAGCTACAGTCACATGCAGATGTAGGTATTAGAAGATTTTAAGTAGAATATGAAATAAAAAACAAGGATTATCAGCCATAAATGAGACCAAAAGTCAATTAAGTAAAGAATTTCATTTTCTGAAACATACACATCTATTTGCACTCTATAAATGCACTTCACTTCACTTGACTTTCTCAAGTATACTTTCCACCTATATAGTTTTCTCCATTTGCACTGTGGAGCTCTATGTACACAAGACACTTGCACAGTTAATAGTTATCCAGCATGAGTCACTGACTGGCTTGATTTATCTGGTCATTATTTTGTGCTCTCATCCATGTATAATTGGTTATGTGGACTCACATTTAAGTACACATGCTATAGGCCACATCTGACTTCTCCAATGTGGTCCTCTCCAGTTGTGATGGACTTCAATACCATACTTCCTGTCAGTATGTCCAACACATTGGGATGATACCTGCTTGGGAAAGGTTGGGTCATATTATCTATTCCTGCCTTGTTTGTGGTAAGCACAACAGAGCATACTGGCTGTTCAAAGACACACACACAATGGGTTTTATTCATGCAGTGATAAAAACATTCAGAATCCTCACTGAGTGTTTATCTCCAGCATCATCATCATCAAAGATACACACACAATGGGTTTTGATAAAGAAATATCAGAAGAGTTTGTAAATAATGTTGGCATTTAGGTACGCATTCCAATCAAATCAATCTTTATTACAGTCATAGACTAGCATCTCTATGTACAAGAAACAGATGGGGAGAAGGGATCTTTTCCAACTTACCAAAACAGGCACAGGAAGTGGGACAGGATTTGGGGAAAGGTATCTTCGAGATTTCCGAATTACAAACTTTTCTGTTGGCAAGGATTTCCCTGCTATTTTCAATTTCAGACTCGGCACAGCCCTGGGAAGAAAAACAGAGACACACATTTAAATGATTTCCTGTATGATAACTGTAATCCTCTAAAAACTAGAAAAAGGAAGGACAGGAGAAGTCAAAACAAAACAGGAAAAATGATCATGTTCCTGTATTTTACTACAAAAGCATTTCATGCTACAGGCAACCAAATTCCATCTAGAGATTGGAAGAATCTGAAGAGGTACAGTGACATTTTAGGCTGAGAATGGGGAAAGTGACTCAGACAGAAATTGTTCTTACCTTAGGAAAATGCCATTCTCTTAGCTCAGTCATGAAATTACCAGCAGCAGGGCAAGCATATGGTTACCAACAGAAGAACATATACCCTTTCCTGAATAATTATGACAAAATTAAACTCATAACCATAGAGTTGAATATTCCATTAGATCTCTCTTAACATTAAAGATGATGTAAGTATAAAATTCACGGGAGTACATACAATGGCAACTTTAGTTTTAAAATATGATTGAATGAAAGATGTTTTTCTTCTCCCATTATCAGTCATTATCTTCTATTCTGACATGTACTTTGTTTTCAAAAATCTTACCTAAATAGCACAACTTCATCATCTCCAAAAGGTTTATACTCTTCTGGCCCAAACATGCTGAGATAGGCAGCTTTCATAAATACATATGTAGCCTAAAAGAAAAACAATAGTTTTAAGCTGTATTCATGTATCATCTTCAATATACAGATCAGTACCAATAGAAGCGGATATGTGTAGCTCAGGGTTGAACTGTGGAGTCCTTGGGGTTCCCTGAGCTTGGTTGTTTTCTTGCAAATGTTTTGTTACCTGGCTAGGCAACATCTTCAGTGCTGCTGAAGATGTTACCTAGCCGGGTAACAAAATGTTTGCAAGAAAACAACCAAGCTCAGAGAACCCCAAGGACTCCACAGTACAGATCAGTAAACTTGACACTGTTAAGGAGCAGAAAGTGCACTATTTTCTAGCAGTGGGGAAAGAACTATTCTTGTCAACATGAAAATATAAAATTACATAGTTAGAGCTGATTTGTGAGCAAATAAAATACGCCTCAGAATTTCTCAGGGTTCAGTAAAGAACATAATATCTTCCTTAACAGTATAATCTAATGCAACAATATCATGGGCTCTTTTTGTAAGTAATTATCCATTCATATTTATTTGCCATGCACATTGATATACAGATGAATAGACATACAATTTATTAAAAAGGAATTTGCATCAGTTCCATCCCACCAAAAACTAAATCCTGCCCATTTCTTCTTCTATTTAGTTTCCTTTGTTCTCTTAATGTTGGTTTGAATTAATGTGCTTAAAAGCACATAAAAAATATCGTAAGGCTATACTACTAGGTTAACAGCACTACCTTTTACATAGCTATGCTACTAGCATGTTATTCCTGGGTCTGCTCTTTAGTGGAATTGATAAATGTTTGGGCTTTACCTACGCACACTTATATTGCAGAACTTATGACTAAGTCATTTACACAGTCTCATCAACCATTCCTATTTAGAGTGGGAGAGGGCAAACCATAATCAAGGGTGCACATGTTGAGGAAGGCTGGTTTAAGGAAATCATAATGGGGTTGCCATTTTTAAAAGGATAAACTAAAAAACCCTGGAAAATAGTAAAATATAACTCCTATATTGCCACTTCTAAGATCTGATGACCAGGGAGGACTCAAGCTTAGATTTAAGTGAGTTATTTGCTCACTTCAAAACAGAAGTAATCACGTGTTGTCTCACAGCAAAAGAAAAAAACAGGAAATTATTCTTGATTGACAGATTTTAATTCAGATTCCTCAAACCGAAGAAAACAACTAACTTGTATTTGTGGTGAGATAATTATCAATTGCATAGCTCATGGGGCTGAAAGTTTATCTGATCAGTATGCAAAAAGGACTCTTAACCAGTAGGTACAAACACTAAAATTACCCATTCACTAATTGGATTCACACATCATATTAAGACATGCTTTGTTAAACCAGGGTTTATTGAATAAGCCACAACCGTCTAAGTTGACACATTATACTAAGGATGCTACATTAAAACCAAATAACAATATGATTTACTGCAATGTATGAATGCAGCCACTAAATGGTAAACATGTATGATAAAAGTGTTGCACACATGTGATTCTTTCTCTGCAAGATAAATATTATATATTAGGAAGGATTCCTATACAGGGAACTGAACATTTTCCATTTTAACCCATTTAAATTGTAAATACTATTTGCTATTAATTAAAAAAGGAAAAGCTAACCACTACTGTATGATAAAATCAGCAGCTTACATTCCTAAACTGCCCTTTGTGAGGCTATCAATCTAGAAATAGTGCTATTTTACTTTTATTTGGTAACGGCAGAAGTCAGTCAAAACTATTTTAAAGGTGTCCTGGGATACATTTGTTATCCATTATTTGATTTTGTGAGCTAACTTGCATCTTCTTTTGTCACACAGTCCTGCCCACATCTTTGTTTTCAGTTCACCTTTGACCAGGCGTTCTCTTTGCTAAGCAGATCCGCATAGAAGTAGGCCATCTTCCACTGGCGTTTGTATGTGAAACACCACATCAGTTCCCAATAGCACATGTGATGGAACTGCTTCCAAAGCTGCTGAGCTTCACAACATTCCTCAAACCTTCTGATGGCCTGAAAAAGCAAAAACAAATACAACCCTGACTGGATATTAACGCAACTTTAAAATACACGTTCCAAACATTCATTAGTCTAAGAAATTAACGCTAATACTCTGAAATGTTTACTGAGAAAATAAAATACAACTGTTTGGGAAGAGGATACAAAGAAAGTACACAGTACTAATCATTTTCCATAACACCCATTATTTATTTATTGCTTTTTAAATTTATTCCACTGATCCTCCCAGCAATTCAGGATCATACACACAGCTCTTCAGCATGCTCCCTTTATCCTCACTGCAATCCTGTAAGGTAGGTTAAATTGAAAGAAAAGGATTAGCCTAAGATTACTTCATAGCTGAGTGGCATTTTGAGCCTGTATTTCTTAAGTCTTAGTTCAGCTGTCTACTCCTGATATTATTAGCGCAAATCAATTTCCAATTCACGTAATTTCCTAGAAGTATATCAATGCCCTTTGCCCCATTTTAACAGTGGATGAACTTCAGTGTTTCAGTTACTTATCATGAGTATTTATATTTATTTTTGCAGACAAAATAACTTCCAGAATACAGGTACTTCTCATTTCAGAACCGCAAATTGTTCTGGCGAAATGGTCACTCAGCTCAATAGTGGCTAAGCAAACCACATGACTGAGAGAGAGAGAGAAATGCTGCAAAGGTTGCTGGTTGCTGCAATGCCAGCCCAGCATTACTCTCACTCCAGCGGGCATTGTTGTGGGGTGCAGAAATTTGGGTGTAAGTGCGCACATTGGTTGGAAACATTTTTTTTTTACTACTGTTTACTACTGTTGGATTTGCGGATGGTTGCTATCTGAGGCAGTTGCTAATTGAGGACATAAAATAAACAAAAATTAAATTAAATTTTAAAAAATTAAAAAGAATTTAAAAAGCTGTAAAATAAACAAACAAAAATCTATATAACAAGATAGATTAGAATAGCAATACTGCTAAATAGCACTAAAACTGCAGGACCAGAATGAATTAAAATATTTAGCCAAATAAAAGATCTTCTCTGGCATAGCAGAAAAAAGACTGTGCCAAGTAATCCTTTTATATTGTGTAAAGGAGAAGAGACTGGACCAGAGCTGGACATCACAACTAAAAATGTCTTATCTCAGATCAAAACTGATCTGATCTCAAAACTAGGTTGTAGTCCTGGAGAAATGCCTCTGAAGATAAGTGTAATGTTTTTGGGGTTTCTATGGAAAATACAATGGATAATTGTGACAAGGAGCAGATGAAAAATTACCTATCATTAAAAATCACACTAACTAGCCAGACCCCTTTCTAGAGTCTTTGCTCCCTATAATCCCTCTATCTGAATACTTGGGTGTAGCTAATTCTCTCTCTCTCTCTCTCACACACACACACACACACACACACACACACGAGTTCACTCATTTGCCACCACTAGTTCTTGAATAGGAAAAAGGTACTTCTCATCTGAAATCTGGATGGAGCAGAACAAGAAAACCCACTTCCACAGGAACAAGCTTTTAAATTAATTATTCAATTTTTCCTTTTTTACTAGGAACCAGGGCCAAGCAATTACCAGTTCAGCACTGAGATAATATTTGAACAGGGTTTTTATTGTAATACAAACCACAAAATAAGAATTTGAGGAAATAGTTTAATCACAATTACTCGCAACTGAGGAAAACAACAATGGTAAGAAATAAAGAATCCTTCATGTATGCAGGTACCTATCCATATTTTCACTGCTAATTTTTTCCTTCTTTTACCTTGGTTTCTGCTCTCCCAAGGCTTTGGGACTGAATTCTTCAACCCAGTTGTATGAAATCTATTTTCTCAGGGTGTCTGCTTCCAGAGGGCATCCACTCAAGACTCTCTGAGAACAAAGACATTCCTAACTTCCTCTCCCCATGGCTCACAGCTCCCTGCAGGTTATTGGAGACATAGTCACTATGTTTAGAGTCCTTAAAAGACTCCAACTAGCCAGCAGGCCAACTTTGAGGTCCCACTTACAGCTGCTCAAAATTAAGAGTCCCCTTAATCCACTACGGTAATTATTTTATACTCCACTTCTTCTTGTGAGCATAAATCAAAAGTTTTCCTAAACTGAAATGACAGCATGAGAAGAAGAAAAAAGCAGATTACTTACTCCATCAATATTGCCTCTTATTGTTTCTATTCTCCCTGCAAAAAACAGGAATATGGCACCCTGGAAGAAATCCAAGAGAAAACATTAGCTACAATTTTCATGCAATTTATTTTTAAATGAGGCACTGCATAGCAATACTTGATAGATCAACTTAGGAAATATCTTACTTTTGGATATCGAGTCAGGTAAGGTTTGAGAAGTTTCTCTGCTTCTTCAACATTTCCTTTACCTGTCCCTAGATTAATTGGGATAAAAAGTAACATAAACTGAGGAAAGGTTGGTAGCCTGAGTCTGGCTAATTATAGAAATGAAACAGTAAATGATATACTTCTAATACAATCAGACTCCTTTGACTGGATTGATATAAACAAATGAGAGGGCTTGCTCTTTTCAAAGATAAATATCTTGTTTGTTTGTTTAACAATTTATATAGACATGTAGCTTGTTCTCACAACTCTGGGTGGCCAACACAGAAATCTAAAACAAAAGTGAAAAAAAAAACCCTATAACATCAAATCAGTATTCAGCATGCCAAGATCCACCAAAAACTTCATTTCAAACCATATAGGTCAGACTCACCTAATGTCCTCACCCCAGCCAATGGGAAGAACCAGGTTTTTAAGGCTTTCCAAAAGGCTAACAAAATCGGGGCCATCTGAATCTTGGGGGGAATGATGTTCTAGAATGCAGATGCCAAAACAGAGAAGACACATCTCCTGGGTTCCATTAAATTACACTGCTTCACAGAAGAGACCAGGAACATGCCCACTTAATCAGAACTAGTAGGTGAGCACAGACAATGGGAGATAGGGGATCCCACAAACAACCTGCTTCTGGGCCATATAGGGCTTTATAGGTGATAACTGCACCCTGTATTTCATCTGGAAGCCTACTGGGAGCCCAGTGCAGCTCATAGAGTAGTTGTGTTACAAGGGTGTCCTGCTGTGTGCCCCAAACTGCCATGCCACCACATTCTGGACCAACTGCAGCTTCCAATGGTCTTTAAGGGCAGCCCCACATAGCACACATTGCAACAGTCCAAACTAGGTGACTAAGACATGAGTGACTGAGAGAAGGCTTTCCTGGTCTAGGAATGAGTGCAACTGGTGCACAAGATGGATTTGTGCAAAGATCCTCTTACAGCTGCCACCTGCTCCTTAAGGATGAACTATGAAGCCAAGAGGATTCTCAACTTCTGCACCAATTTTTTCTGGGGGAGTGCTACCCATATAGATTTAAAGATGGAAAATCTGGCTGGACCAATTTTGATTGAAGGATTTCTAAGCACGCAAACACATACTAGCCTAATTTAATTGTATTTTCCCATCACTTTATGCCTTTTAAATGACAATGTCCTATTACTTACTGTAGAAAGACCAATCTAAATAATAATTAAATAATTCATAATTAAATAATTCATAACAGGTGAATTGATTTTATTTTAAATCTAAAATTTGAAGACATTTCCAGTAATATAGTGTTACGTTTTATTGTAGAATACCTACAAAGGAAGGATATATTTGGATGATTTCTGGCGTAGGCAGGATGGGGTTGTGCATCCATCCTTGCCCTACTTGACCTCTTGGCGGCTTTTGATACTATCAACCATGGTATCCTGGATCGGCTCAGAGGACTGGGGGTGGGCAGCACAGTGTTGTGCTGGTTCACCTCCTTTCTCCAGGGTTGATTCTAGTCAATGGTGATCGGGGAGGAGAGATCCTGCCCTCGGCCTCAACCGTGTGGGGTAACACAAGGGTTGGTGCTCTTTCCGCTCCTATTTAACATCTACATGAGGCCACTGGCGAGTTCATCCATCACCACGGGGTGAGTATCATCAATATAGTGGTGATACCCAATTACATGTCTCTGCCCTGCCAAATTAAGTGATGCTGTGAACATCTTATCCTGGTGTCTGGAGGCTATGAGAGTCTGGATGGGGAACTACAGGCTGCAACTGAACCCTGGCAAGACTGAGTAGCTCTGGGTTTTGGGGCCTGCCAGTTCTAGGACTATGCCATCTTTGGTGCTGGATGGGGTTGCACTGCTCCAGAAAGACCCTGTGCACAATATGGGGGTCCTCCTAGACTCATGACTCCTGCTCAAAGAGGAGGTGACAGTCATGGCTAGAAGGGCCTTTGCACAACTTCATACTGGTTTTGGGGCCTGCCAGTTCTAGGACTATGCCATCTTTGGTGCTGGATGGGGTTGCACTGCTCCAGAAAGACCCTGTGCACAATATGGGGGTCCTCCTAGACTCATGACTCCTGCTCAAAGAGGAGGTGACAGTCATGGCTAGAAGGGCCTTTGCACAACTTCATACTGTATATCAGTTATGCCCATTCCTAGATCAAGGGGCTGTCCTCACGGTCACACATGCCCTAGTCACCTTCCGGTTGGACTACTGTAATGCACTTTACATGGGGCTACCTGTGAAGAGTATCTGGAAGCTTCAGCTGGTGCAAAACACGGCAGTGTAGGCAGTTATATGTGTTCCTAGTAGAACACACATTACATCCCTGCTCCATGAGCTGCACTGGTTACCAGTTTATTTCTGGGTCCAATTCAAGGTGCTGTTTTTGACCTTTAAAGTCCCACATGGCATGGGGCTGGGTTCTCAGAGGAACTGCCTCTCCCCGATTACATCTGCCCGTCCCACCAGATCCAAGGAGAGGGTATGCTACTGGTCCTGTTTGTGAAGGAGCTACATTTGGCAGGCTCTAGGCGGCAGGCCTTCTCTGCTGTGGTGCCCGCTCTGTGGAATATCCTTCCCCCCAATGTGAGGCTGGTGTGATGGAAGGCATGAGCAGGGAGGATTCTGGATGGAGCTTCAAGGTTACAGGGAAGGGGGAGAGACATTTCAAGGAAGGCATCTCCTCAGCCCCCTGGGAGCTGGACTGTATGGAAGTCAAGAGAAAGGGACTGGCCTCTCCCCAAGGGTATGATGGTTACAGTTGCTGTCGTTGGGGGGATTAGAGTTAGTCTGGCAAGATTGATGTCAGGTTCAGCCCAAGAATCATGACGAGACAGCCCATAAATCAACTCAGCTTCTTTATTACCTTGGACCTAATAGACAGAATCTCTTTCCAAAGGTTCCTCAAGGTTCCTGGCTGCGTCATCAAGCCTGGGGAACCTCAGGGGACTGGTGAATTATTATTAACATCTCTCTGCCTAATACTCCTTCTTCAGTTTTATATAGTTTTTTAATGTTTTTAATACCATTATAATATTGATTGTTTAGTATATATTAACTATCTGCTTTAGCTTTGCTGTACACCACCCAGAGTCACTTCTTGTGAGATGGATGACTATATAAATTTAATAAATAAATAAAACTTTAATAAAATCCACACATACCCATATTGCTACATTATTAAAACCAAAGCCAGCCTCCAGAAACATAATTACTAGTCTAATAGATCCTAAAAGGCCCCGCAAGTAAGTTGATTTTAACAAGTCTCCTAAATGATTGATAAATGTTTAACAAATGTGAGCTTCATATTGTTGGGAATTCAATAAAACTGAAGCTGTGAGCAAAAAAACCAACCCAACTCCATGATTGGGACATTTGTTAAAAAATAACTTTAAAAAATTATATGAGAGGGTTTTTTTCGCTCAAGCATGGTAGCACGATAATTGGTCAGACAGAATTTGAACTATTTTCAAATAGATAATTCATTAAAATAAAGTTTGCAATGAACATGAATCTTTCCCACTTTGGATCATTTTAAATTTATGAAACGTCAGGTTTAGAGAAAAAACGAAAACCTACCTAGCACAAAGGTCAAGAAGGTATGATAGCACAACAGTAGCATAGTACATAGCACAGACCTAAACCCACACATTGATGCTCCTTCTTGAAGCTGCTGCAAGGCATATTCCTGCATCACAGGCAGATAAATGGTTACAAATTAATCACATCTTGGCTTGCCTTGTTTGTTCTACTGCAATGAAACCAAAAAATTAGTATCTCTCAATATATCATATCTGCATCAGATAATCAAACAGGCTTATATAGCTAACATGAGAGGAAATACCATCACCATTGTAAGTTGCCCTCATTGTTGATGATGTTATCAGTCATCTCTTTTGTGAAATACCACATGAACAAGTAGTGACTGCACAGTATTAGGAGCAAAAAAACCCCACAATTGCTTACAATCTCTCTTACATATAGAAGAAATCACACAAAATATTCCTGTCTTTCTCCTGCAGGTATGTAGCTGCAAAGAATTGTTAAATCGTGACCCACTGCATGTATGCAATCACTGTCCCATAATGTTTATGCATAAACCGTCGAAGTAACTTCAAATAAATGCATTGATTGCTGATCCATCCTGCTTAATTTCTTGGTTTACAGTGGTACCTCTACTTACGAATGCCCCTACTTACGAATTTTTCGAGATACGATCAGCTCTGGCCCCAAAAATTTAC